CTTATCTTAATGCCTTATGCGTTAACGACGAAACCTAAGTACTAGAGTTCTTATATATAGAACTTGCACTTTGCTAGTTTTAAGCGTAGGTTTGCCTTATCTAGTGCGCTAAGTACTACCTTAACGTGTCTTTAGTAATCTTTATTATCTTTAGAGAAGATAAGGATATTATCTATATAGGTAATAACAAATATATTAAGGTGTTCTTATAGTACGTTATTAATAAGCGCTTAGAATGTTACTAGTGCATTAGTAAGTCTAAAAGGCATAACTAGGTATTTATAAAGTCTATGTCTTAACCTAAATACTGTCTTCTATTCTCCTTCTTCTTTTATCTATATAAGGTAGTACCTATCTTAGAGATCTAGTAAGGTAAAGATAGTAGCCTTTACGAGTCTGTCTCTTAGCTTAGCTGCGTTAGGTAATAGATATTAGTTTTTAATAGTTATCGCGTTAAGCTGCTAATAATCTATGCATAGTTATAGTTCTCTATTCTTCTTCTATACAAAGGTAAATAGGCTAGCTGCTAGTAATTTTAAGGCTTAAATGTACCCCTTTTCTAGGTTTTTCCTTATAAATTTCTATTCCTATTTAAGTTCTTTTCCTGTTTTCGCGTAGAGTAGTCTAAAGGGTAGTACTTTCCCCTTTTCTAGGTTAATTATATAATCCTAGGGTTAGTGCTTAGGTAGGTTTGCCTTTCCTTTCCTTTCCTAAAATAGATGTTTCTATTTTTTATATTATTTTAGGATATTATAAGCTATGCTAGTGCTTATATCCTTATAGTTCTTAACCTAGTAGTTTCTGCTAGCGTCTTCTAAGGTTAATTCGTGTTTATTAACTTCTAGTTATAAGAGTATGTTAAGTTCTCTTTTATCTATTACTAGACTTAGCTAATGTATAAGTACCGCTTATAATGCATATTTATAGCGTGTTAGAGATATCTTCCCTTTATTCTATTTAATATATAGGTTATAACTTTTTAACTATAGTAATCTAAGTACTACTTCGTGTCTAGAGGATCTTAGTATATTAAAGGTAATTTATTCTTAGTGTTAGTTAATCCTAAGTGTCGCTTTAACCTTATAGTCTATTCTTAGTGCCTTAGGCATTAATGCCCCGTCTCCTATATAAAGGAGGTATAATTATTATTTTTATCTTATTATAAGTCTAGCCTTCCTAGTAGTAATAGGTAAGATATAGTTTTCTTATGCCTCTAAGTCTATTATAGCTCTAGCCTTAATGTCTCTAACTTAGACAGCGAGTTTTATTAATGCCCTGTTACCTATAGCATTAAATTCTTAAAAGGCGTCTTCTCGCCTTAGTTTTAGCCTAAAAAAGGCTGTTATCTAAGTTTAGGTGCTTAGTAGTTATTATTATTACTTTATCCTCTGCGTAGCTTATATCTTATGCTATATTTAGGGTTAATTTATATAGCAAATACTAGAGAATGCATTTAGAAACCTTTCTTTTTCTTTTTATAGTAGTGCTTTTTGCATATTACTCCTAGGCAGGTTTGCTATTTACCCTAGATGCAGATGCTGTCTATAAGCAGAGTGCATGCTATGTTTTCTGCGTTAGTTTTCTATAGGAAGTACTATACTTCGCGTTTATCTTATAGGTGTTTATTACACTTATTTATAGGGTAATTAAACTATTCCTACTTATATTAATGTCTAGCCCTAGGGAAGTAACTACTATTAATCTTAGCTCTATAGTATACCTTATAGTAGTTATCTATATACACTATATAGTATATACTTTTATATTTAGAGTTACGTATATTAACGTAGTAGCGTAGTTAATAGTTTAGTTATTTATTATTATACTTCTATTTCTTATTTTAATACTTATAGTTATACTTTATAGTGTCTTCTATTTCTTAGGTAACTACGCAGAGTCTTCCTTTATTTTCTTCTATAGGCTTAGGTTTCTCTTCTAGGATCCTATGTAGTGGAGCATCTCTATTACGCAGTTATGTCTTAAATTCTTTAAGGAAGTCCTATACTATAGGCGTGCCTAAATAAGGTTCCTTTATATTTAGATGCGGCGTTAGTGCTTGCTAGATAGGGTAATAGGGTTCTTCCTTACTATTAAGTTCTTCTAGATTCTTATATAGTTGTTTATCTAGAGTGTCTAGGCGTTCTATTATTCCTAGATTAATTTACTTAATTACGTTAACTACGTCCTATTCTTCTTCCTCTATTTCCTAGTTATCCTTTATTATAATATTTAGTTATTATTTAACTTTATTCCTAGAATAGCAGTTCTTCGCAAGGTAGCTAGGCTTACTATATATAAAGCATTTGCGCGTCTCTACTCCTTAGAATTATAGTTCTATTAGAGGTTCTCTAGAGTTGCGCTAGTAAGGCTTATAAGAGCCTAGTCCTTCTAACTCCCTTTTCTCTATATTATTATACTAGATTCCTTCTATTAGCTAATAACTATAATTATTATGTTAGTAGCGTTGCAGTTAACTATTTAAGGTTTAAGGCTTTATTAGATAGCTATTAGGTAGCTTCCTAAAGCTAGGGCGTAGCTTTTATTCTTACTAGCGTAGTTCTTAATATAACTTATACTATTTAGTGTTAATCCTAATAGATTCTTTATAGAGATCCTTTAGAGAGGCGATAAGGTTCCTAGAGCGTAGTAGCTCTTCGCAGATTTTTAGTTTTAAGCCTTATTTATATATAACTATTAAGGGTACTTCTTTCTAGTTAAGCTATATAGCGTATTTCTTAAAGTGCATAGCGTAGTTAGCGATAGAATACGTCTATTAGAGTTGCTATATAGCTTATTTAGTAAGAGGTACTTAATTAGCAATTCTAAAAAGCTATCTAAGTTCTTTCTTAAAGTTCTTATAGTCTTTAATAATCTAGTTAATAGCGTTGCCTTCGCGATTCTCCTTAGCTAGGTAGCTTAAGAGATATAGTTAAATCTAGGTAGCTGCTTCGCCTTGCAAGTACGATGCCGCTAGGATAACTTTCTTCTTGCCCTCTATCTTAGGTTCTAAGATATAAAAGTAGAGGTTAATTTAAAAGATCTATTCTTTAAGTTTATTGCGGTCTTTATAGTACAGGTCTAGCTTAGCTACCTTATTCTTAGAGTTAGTAACTACAGTAATACCTTTAAAGTCGCTTATATTAAGGGTGTTTAATATATTACATTCCTATAGGGTAGCTAGTTCTATAAGGGTAAGTTAGTTCTTAGGCAGGAGTAATAATAGGGGAGGAGGTTATTAATTACGTAAGTAAGTAACAGGTAGTTAGTATTAAAGTTATAAAACTGTTAAATTAACTATACTTAATAGAATTTAAATAATAGATTATTAACTAAGTTAAATACTAGGAACTGTAAGGGTTCCTACTGTTCCTATATACATATAGTTCTAGTGTTAATAGTTAGGTGCGGGACTATTAATAGTCGCGATAGTTCCTACTAAAGCTATCGCTAGTCCTTAGCGCGGCTATTAATTACGTGATACGATAATAATTGGTGTTCGTGTCTTAGTACCTTCGTTAGCGCCTAGGTACGCGACCAATCATTGTTCCTGTTGCTTGTTCGACCCACCAGTCGTAATAAAGAGGCGGAAGAAATCTCTTTTAGTAATAGATAAGATGCCCTAGCAGTTATATATAAAGATACTTAGCTTAAAGGAGTAGGCTATAGAGAGAGGCTTAAAAAGACCTATATTAAGTGGTTAAAGCGTATAGGTAGCATATAGGAGGTAGATAGTAAGAAGTATTTAATTCTTATTGTAGTAGTTAATAAAATCTATTAATATATATAAGCTATAGCTATCTAGGATTAAAAGTTAATATAATCTACGCGCCTTTATCTTTATCTCCCTATTAAATATCTTTAACCACGCTAGGCCTAGCTTATTATTAGTCTATCTACTTAGTAATAAGGCGAAGAAGGTTTAGTAGACTATAGAATTAAAATCCTAAAGCTATAAATCTTATATATTTCTAGAAACAGCCTAATAGATAAGGGCAGGCGTAAGGGCAGATTCATTAGCGTAGATACATGCGATAGTTGTTATCTACTTCCTATTACTATCCTGTATTATTTGCTTAATCTCTCCTTAATTATATCGCGCGCGGGAGAACACTCTCTTTATTCTACTAAGCACCCTTATAAGGAAGCCTTTTTTATCTATATTATAGATATTTCGCGGCTTAACGTTATACTAGGTAATCTTATTACGTAGAAGGTTAAAATATAGCTTATATTTAAAGGCAGAGTTAGCTCTATAGCGCTAGGTATTGATGCTAGTCGTCCACCTATTTATAAGCTTAATGTAGTGCCGTGTAAGAAACTAATCTACCTAGCATTTTCTAGGCTCTTTTCTACTAATCTAGTGCGCGAAATTTTATATTATAACCTTTATAGGTAGTAGGCCTCGTATATAGAGCTTATTAATGTAGCTTATAAGTTATTTCTCTTAGGTTTAGTTAAGGAGTCGCATTTTAGAGTTGGCATCTGTGCGCGAGGATTGAACGCCGCGCGCGCGTCTTAATAGGGTATAACGACTAACGCCATACTTTTTCGCAAGCTAAGTGTAATTAGGCTTTTCTTCAGGCTTCAGCGATTCGATTGCTGCAATTGCTTCATCCATATCGTGTGTGGTGGTAGAGATATCGATTTTTGAAGTTTGTGGTGGCTTTTGAAAAAACGGGCGCGGGGTGATGTCGGGCGTTGCCTGATTCGGCATGGTACCCTGCTTTTTGCAAAGCGCTGTAGTCAGCCCCACCAAAAAAATCGAAGGGCTACCAAAATCAAAATGTCTAATTTACAATGCAACATCACCATTTATTGCCTCTAATGGGTCCTCCACCTGATCTAACCAGCTCTGCGCATCTCTGGGGCATATCTGCGATGCGATCTTGTATCTCCTGCATTGTGATTTTGTCCTATTCTTCTTGCAAAGCCTGTTTCAACTCTTCCTCTGAATCAAAGATTCTACGCCGCAAACGTTGCTTGATAATAGCTTAAATACCCTCTATAGGGTTCAAATTAGGGCTCTGAGCAGGGTGGACAATGTTTTGGGTTCCACAGGCCTCTTTATACTCTTGCGCGAGGCCTCTTTTGCGCATACCATGAGAAGGGTCGCTATCCTCTTGCAAAAGCCACGGTTTATCGTTAATGTCGCGCATAGACTTCATAGCTTGACAGTAAATAGGTAAAAGATGGTCCACATAATACTTTTGAGTCATAGCGTTGCCTTTGACTTTGATTTCCACATTGTGAGGTTTCCCAGCTTCCCATTCTTGTACGCGACGATGATATTCTTCTTCAGTTTCAGTTGTTAGACGGCGGCGAGGCTTTGAAGGGTAAGGAGGATGCTTAATCTTATCTTCTTCATCATTATAAAACTCTAATTTGGCTGCTTTCCCCCACTAACTGATCCACGCAGCTATGTGAAACTGAACACCTTTAAGCGGAGGCCTTTCTTTAATATTCTCTAGCAAATCCCGCGTTCCTTGCTCTCTTGTTATTCTGCCTTGAGCTTGAGAAGTCAGGTCGACATGTGCTTCGTCCGTATATACGATATGATTAAAAAACCTGAAGAGAGGAGCATAGAGATAAGTATCTCCATAAGCTGTTTGTTCCTCTTGATTTTTGTCTGATATAGCCTTCTTGATAAACGCGCACTTGTACCGTCTACCTCCTTTAGTAAGCTCCTTTATTTTACGTTGTAATTGGCGCTTTCCAACAGGCAGATTATGGTATGCGATTTGAGCTTCGTAGGGTTGTTTTTGGACAGGATTCTGGGAAGGCGAGCAAAGCATTTTGCACATCGATTTAGTGACTTTTGACGTGCGACCAAGTATCTCAGACCTTGGCCGAAGCCTCCTCTTTGCTTCAGAACCCATATTCATATATTGATCTTTCCATAATTGGCCGCAAGACTCTGAGATTCCGCATTCAGCTGAAATGCGACTTAACGGAATTGATCCTTTACTACTCGTCAAAGCGTTGAAGAATTTGGATTTCCTGCGAGTTGTAGCTTCTCTACCAGCTAAAGGTTCAGGGGATGGAGTGCGAAAAGGATTTAATCGCGTTGGTGGTGCCATGATTGAAGGTTGAAGTGTTTACGAAATCGCGGAAATCGCGTTTTGGTGGGGCTGACTAATTCGCACAGAATTCTGTCAACCACTGTTGAGGCCTCCCGCCTGCTTGCATAATCAATTAACAACACAATTTTATCACTTGCTTCAACACCATCCGTCCTGAGGTGCCCTTTTCGGTCCCTCCACTCTCTCTCCGCATGCCCAACTCCTCGTCTGGCACCGTCGACCCTTCTATAGCCAATCAATAACTTGGCCTTACCGACCTGAGAGCACGTGCAATGTTCTTGGCATAGAACACCGGCATTCGGTAGATCTCTTGAGCCGACAAGGAGTTGCCGACGCTATTCCGGACCAGCCTCTTCTGCCGTCGCGCCTGCGCAGCCTCCATCCACAGTTTCTAAACATCCCTTTTCGCACCACGCATCTTGTTCGATAATTTATGCTCTCTTTGAGACTACTCATCCTACGGGATTCGCATATGCGACGTCGTCCAAGCAACCTAAACACGACATTTCGCACGTCTGCCAACGATGACGGTTTTGTCCAGATCGCAGATCATTCAGTCTGAACCGATTGGCGATGGGTTAGATACCTTCCGCCAGAATTCGAAGTCAAACCACAAGGATCTCAGCGCGTCCCGCGTCTTGATTCCATCTAACCAAGGTAATATCGATGGGCCCTCTGACGTTTTCACATTGAAACCATAGTAGGACTGAAAGATCTTGCTGTCCACCTCATTGTGGAGTTGCAAGCTCTGCCCGTTGCTCGATCGCTCCCATCCGTCGCTGGTCGCGGTACCCTTCGTAGCGATCTTCTACGACTTGAGCTCTCAACTGAGTCTGACGACTTCGACCTCGAACGCATCATACCCTTCCTCAAGGCTGTCCTCAACCATGAACCCGATGAAGTCATCTGGAACAAGGTCTACGACGCCGTCACCGAGTCCACCCCCCCTCCCCGTCCCGCATCATCCTTCCCACAAACGCCATGGCTACGCAACACGAGCAGCTTCGCAAACTCGACCGAACACCGCAAATACGTAGACGACGTGCTAAAGGAGGAGCTAGGGCCCATGTACGTTAGGATTCCTAGTTTCTTCGAAGCCTTCTTTGGCGAAATCGCAGGCCTCGAGCCGGCAGCGCAGGCGGTATTCGAAAGGTGCAAAGCAGGGAATAATCCGCTCTACCGGGAAGAGAGCGGCTGGCAGGGCTGGCCTGAAGAGGCGAAGGAAAGGGATGTCCTGCGTTGGTTCGCAGAGCTTACGCGCCAGTTTTGGGACTTCGCGGAAGAGCATCTGCCCGCCTCCGGGGCTCAACGACGACCGCTAGCACAGCCCCACCAGCCCTTGCAAGGCTCCACGGCCGACCGCAAATTAGATGTCGGCTTTGTGGACGACCTGAGCGCTGGCATGGACGCCAAATGCCACTAGAAGCAGATCCTCGTACCGGGAGAACTCAAGAGCAATCCATCGGCCGACGTAGCCTCCAAAGCATGGCTAGATCTGGGGCGATATGCGAGAGAGGTACTCGCCGCTCAAGACAGTCGTCGCTTCGTCCTTGGCTTTACTCTCTGTGGTTCGCTCATGCGGCTGTGGGAGTTCGACCGGCTTGGGGGTATCGCCTCCACGCAGTTTGATATCAATGAGGACGGGCTACAATTCGTATCAGCGGTGCTCTGATTTCTCTGGCTAAATAAGGAGCAGCTTGGATTCGACCCTTCCATCATTACGGCCGGAGATAGTCGGTACATCGAGATCGAACGAAACAACCGGAGAGAGCGTCTTATCATCGATGAGGTCATGAAACGATCGCCCTGCGTCGCCGGCCGAGCCACAACCTGCTGGAAAGCGCATCGCGAGGGAGACAAATCGCGATCACCCCTTGTTATCAAAGACTCATAGCAGTTTCCGGAACGCGAGGAGGAGGGCGAGCTGCTGCGCGAGGCAACTGGCAAGGGTGTGGTCAATGTCGCGAGATACTATCACCATGAAACGGTCCGCGTGGGCAGCCAAGACGACGACATCCGCGGCAGCGTGCGACGAGGTCTGTTGTTGTTGTTGTTGTTGTTGTTCACGGCGGTGCTGCTGGCTCTGCCACGCACACCAGCGTTGTGTCCTCCTCTTTCACGACCTCTGCCACGGTGGCTGTCACCCCCTGCTTGTTGATTGCCAGAGTTTCCACCTTGAATGTCCTTGTTGTCGCTAGCAGCGTGCTTTTTGGCGGCAAAGGAGGTTGTTTTGACAGGGTCGTCGCGACGAGCTTCGTCATTGATCTCTTGTATCAAAGAGTCAAGTGTGAGGTTGCCCTTGGAGCGCATGTCGCGTCGTATGACTCGTGCGTAATCAGGGTAGGACTCCTCGATCGCGAGGATGAATTGGTATAGTACGCCTTTGTCAGGTAGCTGAAGCTTCATGTCCTTCAACTTGTTGAGTGAGGCACGGAACTTGTCCGTAAATTTGAGCGTGTTTGTGCAGTCCGCGCAGCGGAGCTTGGAGAAATCAGCCCATGCTGTATAGGCCTCATGGAGGCCCTCGCGATAACGTCGAGTGATCTCCTTGTATTGCTCTGCTGCGGTATGGAGGCCTTGGATTGCTTCGTAAACCTCACGGGGAATCGAGGTAAGGAAGGTCATATTGAGAGCTGCGTCGAGCCTGCCCCAATGCTTGATCCTTTCCTGCTTCTCTGCAGACTTGATGATGTGTTCATTGATCGATTGACGATCGTCGTCAAATGCCTTACGCTCGGCCATGAGCTGACGGTGCTCGCCGTTGTGTGGGTCCAATGTTGATACATCGAGGGCCCCAGGCTCGTCAATAATGCCAGTGTAAGATGGATTGGATGGTCGTGTTTTCTCGCCAGTGAGAACCTCTGACGCATCGTGAATCTGCGCGTACAGGGTAATTGCAGCGTCCCATTTCCAGAAGTTCGAGCCAGATGCGTCAAGCTTCGGGACGACTGCTTGTGCGTCGTAAATGCCCATGTTGGGTGTGACGTCGCAGTGAGTTCGTGAGCGGAAGCCTCACCAACGCTGGGCTGCGTCGCTCGTCAATTGAGTGTGGCGAGAGGCAGACGTCTTTTGTTGGTGAGTTGATCCGGGCTCATAACCTGATGAGAAGCATGATTGTGATGTGAACTTGTTGTTATTGTGAGCTATCAGAGCTTGACTATATAGTAGGAACGAGATGAACAGACGCTAGTCCTAAAGAGGTACGCATGTCACTCGTACCTTCGAACAGATCCAGCTTTTAGTAGTTTTAATTCCTCGTAGTTATTGCTGGATTTTTATGCGATTGCTAAGATACGATACTCTTTGACATTGTATCTTGCCCTCTTGATCACTAAAGCAACCCCAGCCCCTGCTAACCAATCATACTGCTAATTGCCCGCCTCCACCTGGAAGCCATCTGAGTCGAACCACTGTAGTAAGTCAGCCTTACTCTGCGCGTTGACTTCCTCCTTTAGGAATTCCGGTTTAGCAGTACGAGTGCTGTAACAGCTTCTCTTTGCAAGGAAATAACAGGTTACGCATATAAAACTTACAACAACAAGCAAAATTATAAAAGACAGACTATATAAGTAACATGCAGGAAAAAGAGTAACCAAAAACGCGAATAACCAACTAGACAGATAATAAACAGCAAAAACAACAAAGACAAAGTAACTTTCCAAGCACTAAAGCACTCATGTAGCAATCAACAGCGCTCCTCAGGATGTCGCCCATTCAACCGTGCCGTTCTGATTATAACGGTAATATCTCCTATGCTCCTCAGACCATTGCCAAGGATTGAACACTTCAGTGCATTCAATGGCAGCCTCCAGTGCTTCCCTCAGTTCCGGCAGTTTGCTCAGCAAGGCCTTCAAGGCTGCGGTCTGTTCTTGGCCACTAAAAGTCAAGCACTTCGCTTGAACCAATCCCAGTAGGACCCTGATATCGCTGAGGTCGGACTGTTCCTTCGGGCTCCCAACTCGCTGGTGCTGGGAGAGGATCTTTTCTCTCAAAAGCCAACGAGGACTGAGGACTGCAACCGTCGCTTGCCCCACATTCAAATTGATGCGGTCATTGTCTGGCCTAGAAAGGTCGTATTGGGGGCGATTGGGCCAATTCTGGAAATCGAATATCTCGACTTCTACAAGCTTTTCGAGACCGTTGTTTCCAGTGATACGTACGGCTGGCACGAATACGCCATATCCGGCATCTTTCTTGACAAAATCCTGAGAATGGTTCGTGTAGAGTATTTGCGAAATACGATCAGCGTCAATCTGTCTAGCTGGATCGGCTTGAATAACCACATCGATATCTTTGGTGCCGCGATACGGCCGGTGGTGCCGGAGGAAGATCAGGGAGCAGCCAGCGCCCCCGATGATACCAAATGTTACGTGATTATGTTGGAGAGACTGCGTAAGGATGCTCACAGCACGTCGAAGTTCTTCGCCGCTGAGGGTATCTGCAGACATTGCCACTAAAGAACGAAATCGTAAGTTTTGGTTGAGCAATGTGAGGATTATCCACCCATCTCGGTAGAGGTAGTGACATACCAAAAATTGGGATTTTCTTAGGAATGGGTCTTGAAATCACCCTCAAAGACGGGAAATGGGCGAAGAAAGCTGGGAGGATGGTGCAGAAGTCTGTTGTTAAATATGAAAGGGCCTTGTTTGGACAGTCTTGCTGATTCTCTTTCGTAGCTGTTGGGCTGGGCTGGGCTGAATTGTGTTCTACTGCTCTAACTGAGGCCATTTTATATTCTTATAACAAACTCCTTCTTCTCAACGCATTGTGAAACAGCGCAGATTATAGCGTTAGTAGATCCAACGCAGGAACTTTTCCGCAGCGCTTAAGATAGAAAACCAGATGACCAAGTGATAAGGTCCTTTCCAGGATTAACGAAACAAGCTGCCTTGAATTAGAATTGCCAAGAGG